GAGATGTTATTGCTTTGCCTGGAATGTTCCACAGTATGGCATTACAGATTTTTTCAGTTGTTTTAGCAGTTTTTTATACTTGGTTTAGTTTGATCATTTGATTCAAACATTTATCTAAGCATGGGCTCAGGTGATCTTGGCACAGGTCTCATTCACACACATGATCTGTGAATTTAACTTGTTTTTTTAATACTACATGTCTGTTCTCGTGTGATAAAGGATGTTAGCCCAAACTCTATTACTTTGATTATAAAAACTTAAACATAACAGCAAAAAGCAAATATTTTGAGCATCCATTTTGGGCTTGAGCTGTTTTGCAAATGTCAGTTTTTAATAGTGAAGTGTGTCAAAAAAAAAAAAAGGTAAATTTAAAGTATCTTGCATTTATTTAATACAGGTGTTTTTATTGCTAAAACATACCTTGCATTCTTACTGTGAACTGACTCACCTCTCCATAGATCTAACATGGTCTGATGGTGTCACCTGCTTGTCACCATGGTCAGGGAGACAGGTTTAATGCCATACAGTGAACCATTTCAGACGAGGCAAATAATATTTTCTCAGAGACAAGCAGGTGTGGGCTAGCCAGACTCGCGCCCCGGAAGTTGTAGACCGTGCATCGGCCAGTTAACAAAGAGCTGTGAAGCCATGACGTTAAACTCAAGCGCCTGTCTGGGTCCCTTTTGTGGTACAGCACAACAGTAAACAAAGCGATCGAGATGGATGTAGACGAAGACAGACATTCTGTGTTGGCAACGATTCCCAAGATCGAGGATTTAAAGCTGGAACAAAGAGAATGTTTTGTGAATTTTATCAAGGGGAAAGACGTTATTGCCCGTCTTTGTGTGGGATTTGGGAAAAGCTTAATATACAAGTTAGCCCCATTAGTGATACATTACATACACGACCATGGCCTACCGTCGAGCGAACGAATCCTAATGCTGCGGGGTCAGACAGTTTCCACGAAGTGAAACCGGCTGATGAATCAGGCTAGGTGAGGACACTCACAAAAGAAAATGACCACTTGACAAGATAGAATTCGCTTAATTCTCATTATCAGACCAAATTAATACGTAATCCTTTTTTTTTTTTTTTTTTTATTATTATTTTCAGATTTCTTTTGTTGCATATATCTACCGTTTTATTTAGCCTTGTACTGCGTGTCTTGCTTTCTCATGCTGTAACCTTGGCTTCTATCTAGAGCAGTTCTTTGTATCCAAAACAACCAAACTTGTGGACTGTTTGACTGTGACTGTAACCTCGGGGCAGTTCACTTGAGAGCAGCCTGAAAATATAACCTTTGTTAAATTACAAATGCTATTGATGTTTTCAAAATAAAATAAAATTCTCAGTGTACATTTAAAATCATCCTGGAGCATTATATTTCAGAAAAAAATCTAAAGTAGGAACTTTTCTATACTAATATAACAGGTGTGTAGAGGTCTTGATTACAGGATTAGAAAGTCTTATATGTATATCTTATAACATTATATGACCTAAATAATTGCATCCTTTGTGATATGTCCATTTCTTTCTATTTGATTGTTATTTCATGTGAAGCCTTAAGCAGAATCCACTTCCTCTTTCCCTCCCACTCAGTCTCTTATGTCACTAGGTCAACCAGCAGTGATGTTTGTGCGTGTATTTGTGTGTGTGTGTGTGTGTCTGTGTGTGTGTGTGTGCGTGTGCTGTGTATGTGTGCATGAGTGTGTGTGCGTGTGTGTGAATGCATAGATAGTGTTTGTGAAGTGGCCAGTGGCTCTTGGGGCTTAGTCTCTGTGAATAATCCTCCATCTGTTGATCTTTAGAGCTGCACTACTGTATCTCTTCACTCTCCCACTTCATTCATTCATTGCTGTTGGCTTTGCTTCACTTAACAGTTTTACAGATTTTCTCTGACATTTCCCCTTATACATTTCACATAACACTCTTTTTGAATACATGTTTTTATTATTGTTTTTTCTAACTATTATTTTGGCTCTTATTCTTTTCAGGGGTGTCAAACTCAAATTCACAGAGGGCCAAAATTTAAAACTTGGACTAAGTCGTGGGCCAAACTAAATGTTTATTGAAAAATTTCAACAACATCTGCATGTTTTCTCTTCTTTCGAGATATGTAATGTTAAACCTTTTCTTATTAAAATAAATGTTTAATAATAGTTTTGTTTAAACATTGAATCCAGAACAAGCATAATATAAAATAATAACAATATTTTAAATAAATAATGTCTCTATAGTCTATCTGTAGCGGCGTGCAGCTCTAATACATATTTGATATGATCTCGCGGGCCAAATTTGGCCCCCGGGCCTGAGTTTGACATGTCTGCTTTATATCTTGTTTATTTCACAGTGTCATATATCGCTTCTAATTGATTGTCTATTGTTTATTCATGTGGTCGTTTTAATATCTCATGGAGCACTTTGTTAAACTAATGTGTTCATTCAAGCTACCAAAATCCGACTAATAAGGATGGGACCAGACACAAGTTCCACAGGACGAGACGAGAAATGACGAAATTTTAACTTTATTCCTAATATATACATTTTGCCAATCTATTTCCAATTTTGGCCACATGTTTTTTTATGTTTTTGTTTTTTCATGTTTTTGTTTCCATTCCAGCATTTTTTGGAACTATAAGAGATGTAACTCACTAATATGTAACCTGTTTTTTGTCCAGTCCAAATGTAAACACCAACAAAAAAATCTCATGAGATCATTTCTCTCATGTGGACACAGTCTTGTAGCAATTTTGTCTCGTGAGATCTTGTGGCACGAGATCTTGTACCAGTTAATTATAATTTGCAAATGCGAATTGTAGATCTCAAACAAAATGTTTCCTGTGTCACTGTGCTGTGATTAAAACCCAGCACATGGCATGTTTTTTGGGGTCTTTTTTTGGTTATTTTTCTACAATGTGATCAAATTTGAACTGTAAATGGTTGAATTATGAACTAAAACTATACAGTGTAATTACTAGGGATGTAACAATTACCGAAATATCGAGATATCGTAGTCACACAATAATATCGTGGGCTGTCACAATATATCGAATTACAAGTTCCTTTGCTTAAATGCATGGTTTTACAGTAGCAACAGCTTATGAACTTTGGAAACTACATATCCCATGATTCATTTCAGTGCAAACAACATGAATAAATATGTTTTTTACTTGAATTCTTGAGATTATGATGGAAATAATTCACACCTCTTGTATTTTAAAAGCAAAAACGTGTCCCATCTACAATTATATCAGCCTCTTCAAAATATTGCAATAAATATCGTACAGTGAGATTTGGATATCGTTACATCCCTACTAATTACTGAAGTCTTGCATTGTGATTTATTTATTGCAGCTCGTGTTCATTCATATTCACATATAGCTTTTGAGGATAATTCAGCTTTATGGTTTATTTTCAATATTATCGTTTATTGTCTATATTTACTTCAGTCATATATAGCACTTCAAAATATGTTATTGTGACAGGTCTAGCTGTAGAACAGAAAAAGAGATATGTCCTGTCTCTGGTCTTTCCTCTTTTGCCTGACAGCCTCGACTGAAACACATCACACTGCTCCACGTGACGTCTGTGGATTCCCAGAACTGTCGCTGGTTTTTGAAGCTGTATCAACAAACGCTGTCAGCCACACTCCACAGTTTCAGTAGAAATAAAAAGGTGTTTGAGAAAGATCTATAAGGAGATCTTGTAGAAATGTTGTTTTCAATGTAAAACTAAGGGCATATGGTTATCTGGTGTTTGAAAGTAAAATATGATAAAGATTTATTTTTGGATAATTGTAAACCAGTTGTTAATAGGTGTAGTTCACATTGAGATGTCATAATTTCAGATAGATGACTTTATGACTAACTTTATGAGGGATTTACTGTTTTTGATCTACAAAATGCTAAACCCCATTGAACATTTTTTATTCATTATTGGCTCCAATAATTTCCCTTCTTATAGCAAAAGAAAAATTTACTTCTGTTCTCTAAAAATACACTTTTGTCCAGTTGACAGATTTTTTCTCTTACTGTGGATCCTACCTGGACGACTGAAGGATTACACAGACTTAAAGTAAATATTTTAACACATCCTTTGAGTTGAATAGTGGAAAGTATCTAAAATTCTAAAGAAAAAGCAATTTAACTTTAGTTTATTTGTTTATTTGTCATAGAAGACAGTGAACTTTGTGTCAATTTCTGTTTCATACTTAGCCCCAGTAATTATCGAGCTAGTAACCATAAATCAATGTAAGAAATTTACACTCTGTTTTTTCATGGAGATGTTATTGCTTGTTATTGCAAGTTACAGGTTAGATCTGTGGAGAGGTGACCCCACTCACAGTCAGAATGTCTGTTTTTCTAGGTATTTTTGAGCTATAAAACCACCTGTAACTGAATATATGCAAAGTAGAGCTATTTAATATCATACTGCGGAACATTCCAGGCAGAGCAGCGACATATCCATAGAAACAAGCAGGTGATGGCTGCTCAATGCACCTTTAAACATACAAACATCATTTATTAACTGGGTATTTGGGATGTAACAATATCCAAATCTCACAGTATGATATTTATTGTGATATTTTGAAGAGGCTGATATAATTGTAGATAGGACACATTTCTGCTTTTAAAATACCTTGACAAGTTTTTGGTGTGAATTATTTCCATCATAATCCCAAGATTTCAATCAAAAAGATATTTCTTCATGTTGTTTGCACTGAAATGAATTATGGGATATGTAGTTCCCGATGTTTATAAGCTGTTGCTTCTATAAAACCATGCATTTAAGCAAAGGAACTTGTAATTCGATATATTGCGACAGCCCACGATATTATTGTGAGACTTTTGATGGTACGATATCACGATATTTCGGTGATTGTTACATCCCTACTGAGTATGGTATAGTGTTGTTTGACCATGACAGAATCCTAGCACAGGTTCATGCTTGTTTGCCTCACATAAACATGCCCTGACCTTTGACCTCTCTTTGTCCCCCAGGTCACAGAGCTGGCAGGATACACAGCTCGGGTGCACAACATGTTTGTGGTGTTTGAGGACGTCCAAAAGGGCATTTACAAACGCTCGTCGCTAACGGCAACCACAGGAGGCGACAAGAAGAGCAAACCCGGCATGCACATAGACGGACCTCTGGAGATCAGGGGTAGGTCTGGGTCTGATGCACTGCTTTAAAGGGCCCACATTACACTATTTTCTGATCTGTTATAATGTTTCCTCATCACAAACAGACCTGGAGTTTCACTGTATTTTTAAACTTCATACACCATCACTAGAATCATTTGGATAATTTCAGCCTGGAATTGCCGGTCTCTTGAGCAAAAGGTAAAAAGTGTCTGTTAACTTGAAAACTACCACTTCATAACATCACAAGTTGGAAAAGAGCATTTTGAGCTTGGAGATGAAGACAGCCTACAGGATTACTCAAACATGCATGAATGAAATAAAATAAAACTCCTGGTGTGTTTTAATGAGGTAATACCATTCTAACATGGCTTAAAAGGGACAGTCCGGAATTTTGGACATTATCCTGCCACTAAAAACAGTCTTACCCACTCCACAAAACACCCGAAGCTAATCTATTATTACAGCAGACTTTCGATGTAAATGTCTGTGTTGATAGAATAATTTTAGAAGTAAAACCAACCTTGCATTTGAAGGATTTATGTCTGAGCATCAGCAGCGAGTTGTACTTCCTGATAGAAAGCTTGGCAGCGGCGGGCTGATATCACGTAGTACCTATCATAGTGGCAAAGTGATTCAGGTGATGCAAGCGTCGGCAGCGTCACATGGTTATTTTGGTATGAATGAAAAAAATCCACTGCTCGCTAGTGTGAGCTGAAGAAGTTGCAGAATATTTGTTGTGATGATGTTTACCACCAGGTCAGCTCCCATTGGACACCAATTTCTAATGCGGGCTTGTTTCTTTTATTAAGCCGTTTTAGATGAATATTGTGATTCAAAATGTGCAAAATATAACATCATGATCCATGGATTATAACCATAAAGCAATGAAAACACAATATGTCTGCTTCAAAAGAATGCAATGGAAAAAAGTGACCTTTGGCCTCCAAATCCAAGATTACAAAGACTAATAACAATAAAGTGTCTGTTATGTCAAAAAGGAATTTTTACAAATATAATCTATAAAGTAAAGATAAACCAAGAAATATAACAGCTGTCTAATCCTTTATAAGTAGCTAAGCCCGTATTTGTGTGAAAAGTTAAAATAATTCTTCTTTCTTTGTGTTTGTTCAGGGGAAGTGATCGACGTGGACCAAGGCATCGTGTGTGAGAGTGTGCCCATCATCACACCAAATGGAGATGTTGTGGTCTCTTGCTTAAACTTTCAGGTGAGAAAAAAATCAGATCATTTCCTGCTCCCATTCTCTGTTTCTGGGTATGCAGCTGCTCTGTTGATTCTTTGAATGCAGAGTTTTTAGACAGTATATTCACCGGGGGCTGTGTGCAGAGCTTCCCCAGTGGTCTCATTAGATCTTACCTTCATGTGGTGTTTGTCCAGGCTTATTCCTTTGAGAATCACTGAATTGACATATTGTGACACAAAATATGTATTTTATACTATACTTTAAATGATTAAATGAAGGATGTAAATTCAGCTTCCCATTAAGTGTATACAGTATAAGGAGTGAAAAATAAGTCACTACTGGATACTCAGACAATACATTTCATTGTTACATGGTTAAACTGTATAAGTTAACTTGAAGAATTTGGAGAAACCTGTTATTTATACATACAAGTGGTACAATGAAATTACTTCAGATTTGCATTACACATTACACAACGTACTAACTAAAGACTAGTTATGCATGTAAAAGTACTATATTACGCAAAACTGACTCTTATGAGCTTTAAGCCATGTTATAATGCTGTTACCTCCTCAAAAATAGTAGCCAGGCTAGGGTCGCTTAGTGCCTCTGCTCAATTTCATTTCTCTCCAGCGACTAGGTTAGGAATCAAATACACAAGACGGTTTGCAAAAACCCTGGAAGTTGTAGACCAAGCACCGGCCAATCAGCGAAGAGCTGTGAAGCCATGACGTCAAATTCAAGCGCCTGTCTGGGTCCCTTTTGTGGTTCAGCACAACAGTAAACAAAGCGGTCAAGATGGATGTAGATGAAGACATACATTCTGTGTTGGCAATGATTCTCGAGATCGAGGATTTAAAGCTGGAACAAAGAGAATGTTTTGTGAATTTTATCAAGGGGAAAGATGTTATTGCCCTTCTTCCTACGGAACTGCATAAAGAAGTTGACTAAGTGAGTGTGACGTCACCCATAGTGTACACTTCCAGTCAAATGAAGCTCACCGAGGCTTGGAGTTACAGGAGCGAATTTGAGGCTGAGAATTTATTGACAGACAAAATAGTGAAATAAATACACCAAGATTATGTAGAGCTGGTTAATACGAACATTTAACACCAAAATGAGGAGGCTCACAGAAGTTACAGAGAGAGGGGTGACAGTTTCTCAATGTAAAGTCAATTGGAACCAGAGTTGATGGAGCCAGAAGCGCCCCCATGCTCACTTCCTATTTGGATCCCCGCAGCTATGTCCATTTATATATAGAGTCTGTGTATTGTACTTACGTTATGTGTGTTTCAGGTGGAGGAGGGCATGCACCTGCTGATCACTGGACCAAACGGCTGTGGGAAGAGCTCTCTGTTCAGGATCCTGAGCGGACTGTGGCCCGTCTATGGAGGCCGCCTGCACAAGCCCTCCCCTCAGCACATGTTTTATATCCCACAGAGGTACGGGCTCACAGTGGATTTGCTATTTGGTCAGAATTATCATAATCGTAAATGCTGCGGTTATTTACTATTTAAAGAGAAAGTTCTGAGTTAAGACCAAAACAGTAACACTTAATTTTAATTGTGTTTGGAGATGTGTTTTGTTTCATTCACATGTTTAACACACAAATCTTGCATATTAGGCTGAGTTCTTCTCGCAAACAGAAAATACTCAAGCTGCACTGTGTTTTTAAACTCCATACATCTTCACTAGAATCATTTGGATAATTGCAGACCTGGAATTGCTAATCTCTACTGAATTAAATGTAAAAAGTTGCTGTTAATTTGAAAACACTTCCTGAAATCACAAGGTGGGACAGAGCATTTTGATCTTTGGAGATGTAGGTAGTCTTATAAAAATGCAGGATTACTCAAACATGAAACAAAACACAACTCCAGGTACAACTCATTATGTTTTTAATGAGGTAACAACATTCTAACATGGCTAAAATTTCACAACAGTCCATTTTTGTGTAATATTGGACCTTTTAACATTCCTTATTACTGCTAACTAGTCTGATGTTACTAGATTTTCACTACTGGCATAAGAATTAATGAAACTTAACCTATATCATCGCAATAATAATACTCCAAATATTAGAAAGAATCATAAATAGATTTTATTGTTAAATGGCGACACTCCTTAATCAACAGCAGAGTGTTGGAAACCAGTGCAGGGCTTAGTCTCACTCCATAGAGCCCCGTGTAACTGTAACCTCTGTAACAGGAGCAGTGTGTGTGAAACCAGAGCTCAGGCCAAAGTGAAATATTTACCAACAGACTGTTCAGATACTGTCCAATCAAACAACTGCTTTTAAGTAATTATCCTCAATGAACTAAGTCACAGGTTTGGTTCTGGATCAAGCCCAGGTTAGCCCTGATGTAGACTTGATTTAGTCCTGATCTAGTCCTGGATTCAGTCCAGTCCAGTACTATTCACATATTTGATGAAATTTGTGAGTAACTTTGAATATATATTATTAGTATAGTTTGTCATTAAACTTGTATATTTGACAGTATAATGATTTTTAAAAAGAAATCACAATATTACCCCTCTCATCTTCTGATATGTACAGTAAGTTTTGTACATAAGATCATAGTATTTAAGTACAGTATGTAATTTTCCAGAATTGGCATGTTATCTGCATGAGTCCATGGAAATAGAATGTTAAAGCCATACTTTGGAACATTCTAGATGGAAATAGATTAGCTTTAAGGCATACTGTGGAATATTATATCCAAAGGAACAACATTCCCATGGAAAAAAATAGGAGGAAGCCTTCTTCCTGGCCAAACAAGAATCAGGTTTATGGAGATGCAAGCTCGCCTAGAGTAAGGACACATGCATTTAAAAAAAAAATAAAATTTTTTTACAGTGCAATAAATAACCAGAATGACATGAAAAAACATGCTTTTATTTTAGTCTATTTTATGGCTAAAAAGTCACATACTGTGTCTTTAATGTAGCTTAGTCCAAAGTGGGTACAGATTTTATATTGATACTTTATTTATATGATCATATTTATAATAATAATAATAATCATCATCATCATCATCATCATTAGAGTTCTGTGAAAGTATTTTGCTTTAAAATGTGCATAAAAATACAACATACTGAATTTTGACTCTTGAAACAGCGTGAACTCAACGTGACAAATCGTTTTGTTGAATATTTAAAGTTGCATTGCATAACTTTTTCAGATCTGTGGACATGTGGGCTCCCCCATGTTAATAATGACTGTTTTGTGGTACTTCTGAGAAATAAAAATTATAATTGAATAAATACAAGATATATTTGTTTAATGTCATATTGTAGAACATCCCAGGCAAAGCAATAACAGAATGGAGACAAGCAGATGTCAGCTCGTCCAACACAAAAGTGACACAATGCACCTTGACATATAAATAACTAAATATGTCTAAACTGCACACAATGTAAACCTAACCGTATCCACTGTAACGTAACCCCAATGTACAGACTGCGCTGACTCAGGCTCTCACCCTGACCCTCCTACACACCAGTAAATATTTCATACACGGTGGAGGACCAGCTGGCCGCAGTAACGCAATCCAATACACGCGACGGGACAAAGGACACAACAGCAGCTTAACGCATGTCTCTGTGTGTTCACATGTGTCCTCTGATTGTTCTAACTGCTCAGTCTTTTGTTTTGTGACTCATTTGTTTGACTCATCCGGTCTTCAGTGGCAAAACCACTTAATGAAATGAGAGTTGGACAACAGACCGCTCGAGGGCAAAAGTGCTGTATGTTTGAAAGCCTTGTTTGTGTGTGTGTGTGTGTGTGTGTAGGAGTGCTCAAATGACTGGAATAATGTAATAATCTTGTGTGTAATGATTTATTTACAGAGTACATCTGCATTACATCAGCAGACTAAGGGGCAGCTTCTTTCCCATGGCTGTCACACTACTAAATTTGCACTTTAAAGGTCCTATATTACTCAAAATTGACACAATTGTGAGCTTTATAAAAGTGTTATAATGTTGTTATCTCAACAAAAACATACCTGGAGTTATATTTTGTCTCATTCACACGTTGAGTAACAATGCATTATTAGTCTGTGTACATCTCCAGTCGTAAAATGCTTTGTTCCACCTTGTGATGTCATGCAGTGGTACTTTTCAAGCTAACAGCTACCTTTTACTTGCAAGGCTGCTGTCACCTAGTGGCTCCGCTCAATTTCATTTCTCTCCAGTGATTAGGTCAGGAATCAGAATACACTAGACGGTTTGCGAGAACCCCAGAAGTTGTAGACCGCACACCGGCCAATCAGCCAAGAGCTGTGAAACCATGACGTCAAACTCAAGCGCCTGTCTGGATCCCTTTTGTGGTGCAGCACAACAGTAAACGGGCGGTCCTGATGGATGCAGATGAAAGCCTATATTCTGTGTTGGCAATGATTCCCGAGATTGAGGATTTAAAGACAGAAGAGAATGATTGGTGAATTTTATCAAGGGGAAAGACGTTATTCCAGTGGGATTTGGCGCATTACATACGTCACAACCAAATAGCAGTGATTGGTTAAATTAAAAAAGTACTTGCCTACCATCGAGCAAACGAATCCTAATGCTGCGAGGTTTTCACGAAGTGAAACCGGCTGATGAATCAGGCTTATCTTTTACCTTAAGTTCAGTAGATTCAGCACTTCCCAGGGAGAAATTATCCAAATGATTCTATTGAAGGTGTGTGGAGTTTAAAAACACTGTGGAGCACTTCATCTGTTACCACTTGATGACCTCACAAGGTGGAACAGGTTTGTGTGTTAAACATGTCTGAATGAAACTAAACAAATCTCCAGGTGTGTAACATAGATCAGAAAATATCATAATATGAGCCCTTTAAACATGAATTGCCTTGATCCAGACTTTTGAAGTATTTTTTCTCATAATGTCCTTTCGTCTCTCCTTCCTCTTGCGTAGGCCGTACATGTCCATGGGGTCTCTGAGGGACCAGGTGATCTACCCGGACTCTCTGGAGGACATGGCCACTCGGAGTCTCACTGACAAAGACCTGGAGGCCATCTTGGATATCGTCAACCTCAACCACATCGTCACCAGAGAAGGAGGTTTGACAGGAAGACATTATTTGGTTTTAGTGACTAATTCTGCCATTTAATTTGCAAGTCAGTAATTGCACAACTCAGGAATATGAATATTTTTGAACTGTTTGATAATACATATTTCTTTATAATAATATTTTTTGAGGTCTTTATTCCAGTCCTTGTTTTTTTTTTATTTCATTTAGTGCAAGCCTTTGTTATTATCTGAACTTGTGTATCATGACAAGTTAAGGTCTCCACTGTTTTACCATCTCAGTATCGTTACTTAGTATAGTTTATTCTGTCTGTGGTTATGAGAATCACATAAATGATCATATTTGTCTGTTCTTTTTAGGTTGGGATGCAGAGTTGGACTGGAAGGACGTGCTTTCAGGTGGAGAAAAGCAGAGGATGGGGATGGCTCGTATGTTTTATCACAAGTAAGTTCATCAGTCACAGTCAGATGATAGTTTTGCAATCAGAAATTTACTCAGATATGACTGTAAATGGCCTGGTTTTGGTAAATGGTCACATTTTTATACAGCACTTTTCCACATTCAAGGTGCTCAAAGCGCTTTACATCAAGGAACCACTCACCCATCCACGCACACATTCATACACCGGTGTACGCAGACATTGTGAGTCAAGTGAATCTGACCGCTCAACCATTGTTTATGTCAAGAGTGGGATTCAAACCACTGACTTGGAATCAAACCACTGGACTGGCTACTCTTTATTTTTAAGTGTATATATGCAGCTTTTTTCAGTTTCAGACAATATATTCAGTAGTCAGATTTTTCACATCTAGTCTAAAGTCTAAATTTGCACCTGATATTAACTTTGTTCTTGTGTATCCTGTGTCCAGGCCTAAGTATGCTCTGCTGGATGAGTGCACCAGCGCCGTGAGCATCGACGTCGAGGGGAAGATTTTTCAGGCGGCCAAAGACGCTGGAATCTCTCTGCTCTCCATCACACACAGACCGTCACTGTGGTAAGAACAAGACACATATGAGTCATGTTTCTATATCCACATTCTGTTTAGATTAAAAAAAAAAAAAAACATATGTAAAAAAAAGCCTCCCAGAGAATCAGTGCAGTGTTGACTTACTTACACAAACTACTTTCATATTTTAGCAGCAAAACTTTTCTCAAATTCTCTGTGAAATTAATGAGATTCACACTTAAAAAACACATATTGTGCTTGATTCTGCTATATAGTTATAATTTAAGACACCAGTGGATCATTCTGTTTCCATATTTCAGTATTATCTAAAAATATTTAAACAATGTAATAAAAGAGACAAGTTTGCCCACTTCCTCGTTTGAAAGCGGATTTGTTTTCATTCGTACCAAAATGACTATGCAACGCTGCCGAATCCTTTGTGTATCACCAATTAAGAAAATAAAATTGCAGAAACTGTAAGTAGAGAGGAGTGGCTGTGTGCTGGTGGCATCTTGAAAATAAGTGAAGTTTGCTCAAATATGCACGAATCACCTCAAATATAACTTTGAGAGGGTAAATGAGAAGAGGAAACAACTATAACATGATTAAAAGTCAATTCGCATAATTTGCATGATAATAAATTAAAAGAGAGAGACAGTTAATTAGAGAGAAGAGTGCGGAATGAAAATCTTTCAGTCATATGCAGCTAAACAGAACAGTTCAGAGCCTGGATCTAAACAGAGTCTGTCTCACATCTTCAGGAAGACTGTTCTAGGTTTTAGCTGCATGGATCTGAAACACTGACTACCCATTTTTTGTCCTGACTCTGGGCACCAGCAGGAGGTCGGTCCTTGAGGTCCTCAGAGTGCGAGATGGTTCATATGGCTCTAACATGTCACAGATGACGTGCTCGGCCATAGAGAGACTTGTACACAAGCAGAGCTGCTTTAAAGCCTATTCTCTGAGCCACAGGAGCCAGTGCAGAGACCTGAGCACAGGACGCATGTGCTCGTACTTCCTAGTTCAAGTCAGGACCCAAGCTGCGTTCTGGATGTAATTTAGCATTTCAATACAAAAGAGAGTGGGGCAGAATAATGTTGCCTTGTATATTTGTTGTATCTTTTTCTTTTTTAACTGTACCCCAAATAATAATAATAATAATTTGTGTCTGAAATAAAGAACAAGTAAATCAATTTCGGCTGATCCTGTGTTTTTGTCCCTCTCGATCACAGGAAGTACCACACCCACCTGCTACAGTTCGATGGCGAGGGCGGATGGCGTTTTGAGCAGCTGGACACGGCCACGCGCCTTTCGCTCACGGAGGAAAAACAGAGGCTGGAATCTCAACTGGCTGGAATCCCGGAAATGCAAAACCGCCTCAACGAACTCTGCAAAATCCTGGGAGACGATTCTGTGCTCAAAACTACAGAGGAGTGAGCGGCACAAAGGGTTAATGGGGCAAAAAGACTAAAACTAGAGTAATTTTTAAGCATTTTCAACCTCTAACTTCTTCTTTTAAAGGTGCATTGTGTAACTTTTTTGGTGGAGGGTCCATTAAACAGCTCTACCTTACATTTATTAAATTAGAGGTGGTCTGACAGCTCACAGATCTGACCCTCCACCAGAAAAGTTACACAGTGCACCTTTAAAACTCCTCATCATATCTTTTCCCTTTCCTGCGATTAGTAAGACTTGAAATTCTGATAACTAAGTGAATTTTATAAGGACTGCGTGAGTCTGTGTCATGTGAATCAATTTTATATTTATTTGTTTTTAGTTTTTGGTTTGTTAGCACTTTATTTTTTTTTATTTTTTTTGTGAAAACAATTTTAACATCAGTATTTCTAATTTGCAGGGTTTACCAAGTTAAGAATCTACAGTAGTGAATAGGGAATGCATTTTAGGATGCTTTGGAATTTACATTTTAATTTTAAGTATTTGGTTTTGAAAGAAGTATCCACACAGAAAATCCACAAATTATGAAATTATTGTTTTTCAGGGATTGAGTCCACAAACTTGCTGTATTGAAGTTATGAATTTAAATCCTACCAGCTGACAACAATCACATTTTGATAAATTAATCAAGTTTTTCAATTAATTTCAATGTATTTTTGTACAGCCCACAATCACAGTAGCAGTCGCCTCTCAGAGCTTAACTGTGTAACTTTTTTTTTTGGTGGAGAGTCCTTCATCTGCTCGTCTCCATGGAGATGTCGTTGCTTTGTCTGAAATGTCCCGGTATGGCATTAAATATATTCATCATCTTGCATTTACCCAATAACATGAGTTTGTATTGACTTAGAAATATGCATTCTTAGTCTGAGTGGGCTCGCCTTTCCACAGATCTGACATGTAACTTAGCCCTGTGGCATCACTTGCAGTCTTTGTTAAACTGGGTCTATCCCAGGACTAAATAAGGACTAAACCGGGTCTATCCCAGGACTAAATCTGGACTAAACCGGGTCTATCCCAGGACTAAATCTGGACTAAATCAGGTCTTGCTTAGGACTAAATCTAAACTAAACTGAGTCTTGTCCTGGACTAAATCAGTTTTTACCCAGGACTAAATCTGGACTAAACCAGGTCTTGTGTAGGACTAAATCTGGACTAAACCAGGTCTATCCCAGGACTAAATCTGGACTAAACTGGGTCTTTCCCTCGTTTGTCTTCAGTGCTTATTTGAGAACCATGTATATTGACGTATTTATTCGATAAATAAGTGTAATGCCATATTGTGGAACATTCCAGGCAACATCTCCATGTAGATGGACCCACCAGAAAAGTTACATAGAACAATATTTAACAGGGATGTAACAATAACCGAAATATCGTGATACCGTATTGTCAAATTTCTCACAATAATATCGTGGACCATCACAATATATCGAATTACAAGTCTCTTTGCTCAAATTAAGAGTTATGGTGCAGAAATAGCGATAAAAAAGACAGAGGGAACTACATAGACCATGTTCCTTTGCTCCATTTCAGTGTAGACTACAACAGATAATAGAAATAACAGTTCTAAGCACTTTTAAGCCTTAGTTCTTTGGATTAAGTCTTGTCAAGGCATTTTAAGAGGAAAAAGTAGCATATTCTTAGTTTTGTTTGCCTCCACAAACTATCGCAATAAATATCATACCGTGAGATGTATATTGTGAAAATATCGTACCGAGAGATTTGGATATTGTTACATCGTGAGCCTCCCCACCATATCGTGAGCTTTCCCACGATATCACAATAAATATCGTACCGTATCGTGAGACTTGGATATCGTTACACCCCTAATATTTAACCAACAGAAAATCTAACAATCACTGGTTAATAACACACAAGCAGATTAACCAACATTTATACAAAAATATATATTGAAGTATTATTACTTTTGAGAATATTGCAAAAGAAATCACCACAGTTAATTTGCTCTGATATAAAATATGTTTAAATTTATGCCAGTTTTTGTTTCATGTGGATAATCCCAATAATTACAGAGACATTAACCATAAACCAGCACCTTTGTCTTTCTAAATATAAATTACGTCTTGATTTTTGTTTAAGTTTTTTGTATCGAGAGCAGTGTTAGCTACCTCTAAGATAACTAGCAAACATATTCAAACCTATGCAGCCCCATGTTGCTGTGACAGGCTAACGCTTATTATGGCAGTGATTAGTAACGCAGGTTTGCCTCCACAGCTTCTTTTTTCTGGTTTAATGAACAAATACAAAGAGCTTAAGAGCCACGGTTCAAAGGAGACGGCAGCGGGGGTCTCAGGGGAGGGGCCTGTCACATTTAAACATTTTATTTACGTACATGGAGTTTGGGAATAGAGCCGGACACGTTTGGACTGAGATATTTGTAAGTGAAGTTATAATTAGATTTGTATTTTGAAATCAGGATTCTGTTCTTACTTATTTTAAAGGTACACTGTGTAACTTTTCTGCTGTATGGTCTGCCACTTTCTTGTACTGATGGAGATTTCACTGCTGTGCCTGAAATGTTCCATGATACAGCATTAAACTTGTATATCGCCATGGAGACAAGATGATGACGCTACCATGCCAGGCTGCAGGTCAAATGGAGTGGAGAGCGGAGCCCACTAGCTCCACTAATTTTAGATGTAGATAAGTTTAATGCCATACTGTGGAACATTCAAGGCAAAACTACTATTATATCTCCAGGTAGACAAGCAGCTGACGGACCCCTCACTAGGGTGACCAAATTTTCAGAATCAGAAACTGGGACACCCCCGGGCTGGTCATGGTTGGTAATAATAAAACTGAGAAATTATGTGTAATTAAAGAAACTTGTTATGCACTTGGCCCATTCATGACTTATTCACAATAATATGTGAGTCTGTCATATTTTCTATGTTTTTTTTTCTGTAATTTTACCTAAACAAAAACCTAAAACAAAAAAATCTAGATAATTGATGTCTCTTTACTGTTGGCAGGTATCAAATTGGTCAAAAATAGAGACCTAGATAACACTAGATGCATTTCACAAATCAGTGGGTTTGGATAAATCCACTGGGATAGGGGACACAGGGCTCGAAACTGGTAGCCAGGCTGGTCCCATCTAGTGCCTCCACTCAATTTCATCTCTCTCCAGCAACTAGGTCAAGAATTGGAATACACTAGACCCCCGGGGCAAGAACCCCATAAGTTGTAGACTGGCCAATCAGAAGAGCTGTGAAGCCATGACGTCAAACTCAAATGCCTGTCTGGGTTCCTTTTGTGGTACAGCACAACAGTAAACAAAGCGGTCGAGATGGATGTAGACAAAGACATACATTCTGTGTTTGCAATGATTTCCGAGATCGAGAATTTAAAGCCGGAAGAAAGAGAATGTTTGGTGAATTTTATCAAGGGGAAAGACGTTATTGTCCTTCTTCTTACTGGATTTGGCACATTACGTACGTCAAAACCAAATAGCAGCGATTGGTTAAATAAAAAAAGTACCCACCTACTGTTGGGCGAATGAATCCTAATCCTGCGAGGTCAGACGGTTCTATGAAGTGAAACCGGCTGATGAATCAGGCTACAAAACTGGCACTGTCTCAGGTAAACAGTGATATCTGGTCAGCCTACACCTTACTAGAGAAGTTACATAGTGCACCTTTAAGACAAGCAGGTTGTGGACCCTACACCAGAAAGTTACAGAGTGCATCTTTAGATAATGATGTGAGTCATGTGAGTTGGTTCTACCTGCTGTATTCTCTCTTTTATGTTGACACTAAACAGTGGGTCTGTCTGGAGATCATGGTCTTTGAAGCCTTTTGGACAATATTAGCATGACACGGCCCAGGACACAGACACATGCAGGAAGTAGACTCATGTTTTAATCTAAGTCATAATCCGCTTTGCTGTCGTCTATTTTAGGTCTACACAAAAACATCTGCCTTATTTCACTTTGTTTTGAAGTCATTGGAATAAATTTTCTATTTAAAGGTGTACTTTGTAACCTGTCTGGAGAGGGGTCCGTCACCTGCTTGTCTCCATGGAGATGTTATTGCTTTCCCTGAAATATTCCAAAATGTGGAATTAACTTTGTTTTACTTGTAGGCCTATTCAATGACATGTGTTTTACTGCAAGAGAGAAAAATATCTTGAAAAACTGTGAGCATGGTTACCTCTTTGCAAATCTGACCTCTAACTTGGCCGTACATCATCTGCTTATCTCCATGGGGACAGAGACGTTTATGTATACTGTGGAACATTCCAAGTAAGGCAATAATATCTCCATGGAGACAAGCATAAATACTGTAAGTTTTAAAAAGCAGATGATGGACCTTCCTCTAGAAAAGTTACAGTTATAGTTTTGGAAATGTGAAATTTAGCATGAAATAATGTTAGTTGCGCACTGAGGACATGGACTTTAGTTCTGATGTATTGATACTTTGCAGTGACATGACGCTGGGGGTGTTCTACATGTATCTTCATTGGAGGAATATTCAGCAGTTACCATTCAGTTACTCATTTTAGAACACAGACAAAAAAATTTCAAGATCTTCTGAAAACTAAAAAAAAAAAAAAAAATGGATTTAAACTAATTTGCAGGAGCCTGTGATTCCTGTTTTCATGGTTGTTTTTAGGTGTTTGAATTTCAACAAAAGCTCAGAGTGACTAATTGAAAATTTTTGGCCAGTGCTCACTAGCTTGTAACTGCAATGTTATGTGAGACAATCTTGTTAAACAGCTCTAAATTTTTAAATAAAGCTCAGATTAAGTCTAATTAGCGTTAGAGTAGGGTGACCAGACGTCCCTGTTTACCCGGCACCGTCCCAGTTTTGAGCCCTGTGTCCCCTGACCCAGCAGATTTATCCAGAACCAGAGATTTGGCCCATTTTATTCAAGAAATGTTCCAGGTGTCCCTATTGTTGACTACTTTTATCTAAGATAGGTCTAAATCAGGACTAAACAAGACTAAACCAGGACAACATCAGGTCTAAACCAGGACTGAGGCTACGTTTATATGATGAAGGT